TTTTAATCTGCTGGTGACAATATTATCGTAGACAATATTATCGTAAAAAAAAAAAAAAAAAAAAAAAAACCTATTATAATAAAACCTATTATAATAAAGTGCGCTTATTGTGATCTTTGAACCGCATATATTTTCGTTATCTTAACGTGCACGCGTTTATAGAAAATCAATAGTTCGTTTACATAATGTGTTATTGTCATTGTTTTCGGCGGCGGACGATAATAAATGAAGGACAGTCATCGTCGTCGTAATAAAACTCAAGAATGCTTAATTATTATTTGTATCCAGAACTGTCCTAAATTTCAAGCATTTTTTTTTTTTTCACTACTAAAGTCTTATTTTATTATTTCCAACATGTCAAGAAGTAACGAACATTACGACTATTTGTTTAAATACATAATAGTAGGAGATGTGGGTAAGTACTTAATATAAGAACAACAGCCTTATGATATGTAATATGCGTAATATGTTATACAGACTGTAACGCGAAGATCAGAAAACCGGAATAACTTTTGTTCTGTTCAATATTTTTAAGTCTTTTTTTTTTCTCGCAATAATTATTAGAGCTTACACTTATTTGATTCTGTATTCTGCTTTACGTACATATTTTTTAAACTAGTATATTTTGAAACGAAATGTTTTCTAGTGATCAATCACCTACCTATAATATTATCTAAATTTGTTTGAAGTGCACAATAATTTAAATTGTTCATTATTGTTACGACTACATATTAATATTTATACATCAATTTTCATATAAAGAATAATTTCATTTATGATTTTTGTAAACTTTAACAAATTGCAGACAATCAACGATTCATCACTAGTTTTTATAATTTATATCACCAACATTTTGTTTTAAAATTTATTTTTATAAATTGACTATCTTTGATTTTGTAAATCATTTTTTTTTTTTTTGAGTTCTAAAACGAATATTGATAAAATAAAATAACCATAGCACAGGGTTCTAGAAATTATTACAAGAAAAATAAACTTAAACATATTGAACAGAATAAAAGTATAAATATAAATATTTCATGTGTTAGATCTTTGTGTTACACTCTGTATATACATATTACATACTCCAAACTTGTAGGTGTTAATGCAATTAAATTATTTATACTATGCTGAATGCAGTGGCGTATTAAAGAGGAGACAGATTTCCCTCTTGACCTTTTTTTTAGTACAATATATTATTTGTAAAACTATCTACCTATATTTAAAATATAAATTTCTTTACGTTTTAGATGAAAAAAATCAGAAATTTAATTTACCCTCTATCCAAACTTAAAATTAGAAAATCTAGTTAAGAGATAAATGAAAATCAAAAATATCAACACCAAGATTTATTTAAACTAACAGTTTATCTAATACTGGACCACATTAATAGGATCAATCTCTTTATATCTTTTATTATAGCTATTTGAAAATTAAAATAGACAGGCATTCGTTTTACCCCCAAAAGGAGACAAAAATAAAGGTACGGTAACATTTAAGAGCTGCGTGTTTCTTAAATTATCGTCAATAAACAAAATATATCTTCAAAAAAGACGCAATCGCAATGAACATATCTTCGTGAACACCTTGTATTAAATATCAAATGTGTTTAACCTATTCACCTACGTCTGAATAGTATGACACAATATCCGAATTCAATACGTCTTTTAGACAAAATCCTATACCACTGGCTGAATGTAACCTCAAGAATAAAGGAATTTATACTATCACGTTTTTTTTACTATATAATTGTTTATGAATTTCAGGTGTGGGAAAAACGTGCATTACCAGACAGTTCTTATACCACGAGTTTGATACAAAGGAGACGTCCACCATTGGTTAGACTATAAATTTAAATTTATTATTAAATATACGAATAGACTAGTACATTATTTTATACTGAATATGTTTTATATGTAAGATAATAACTATTTTCTGGTAAGAGTGCCAAGGTATTTTCAGAGCACTGCCTCCTATATCAATAGGTAATTACAATTTTGACTTAAAAATAAGTGTTATGTTTGTATTATTTTGTGAACTTAGTTGGTACCTATATTTTTCCATTATTGCAGTATACAGCAGTTTCCATTTAAATACTAAAAAAAAAAAAAAAATAAATTATATTACTGATACTTTTGATGGTTGGGGTTCTAATTTAGGAGAAAAATTGGAAGGAAGGGTATACAAAGTAATTTAATTTATATCTACACGCGACGATGAACCATTGCTTATGAAACGTTATTCTGAACAGAGTATTATCAATCGTATCTTTTTTCTTTGTTGATAATATATAACATAGAAATCAACAAAAATTATACAACGGATTGCCAGTTTTTCCCATTTATCGAAGAAATTAGAAGCAAATTCAAAAACTGACTTTCTAAATACACCAACTAAATCAAAAATGATTTAAAAAGTTCCTTTACATTTTTTGATTGGAGTAAGATTTCTGGTAGAAAAGTTGAAAAAAAAAATATTAATAATAATAATAATAATACAATATAGTAAAACCAAGTGTTCTTAGCTTTGTCCAGAATTTAAAATTTATAAAACTACAATATACATATAACATTCGTTGAAATGTTTGTTTTTATTATATAAACGCTGAATTACAATGATCGAATTTCTTTAGGGGTCGATTACGGACACAAAACTTTGTCAATTGAAGGAAAAAAAATCAAAATAGCCGTATGGGACACTGCCGGACAAGAAGCGTTCAAGTCCATAGCCAGATCATATTATTCAGGAGCCGCCGCTTGTATACTGGTCTATAATATAACCGATCGAAATTCGTTCCCACACATTAGCGATTGGCTAGAAGATGCCCGATTACTCTCCGGATCCAGAATGGTGTTTGCATTAGTGGGCAATAAAACGTAAACATCAAAAATAATATGCATGTTAAATACTAGACTTCCGTCGAATGTTCATAAATAACAGTCAGCTGGGCTGGTACGAGGGCAATTAAAAAAGGTTTTGATCCTGAAACGATTGACTGAAATAGTCATAATTGTTACAAGCCAATAACCGTTTAACTATAGCAAAGTTCTCGTCACTTTCGATAATACGAACTTGATACGATTCGGCAGTGACGATCATAACTTAATTTCGTCTATCTTTATAGTTCATATTATGCCTGCAATTCAAGTATAGTTCTAATTATTTTGCCATTTGGCGAACGGCGTTGTTAGTATTACACATTTATTTGTTTTTATTTTTATTATGACGTGAATTATTATAAATATTAATAAGTATTATTAAGTATTATAGTATACCTACCTATTAAAACATATTACGTGGTTAAATTGTAGGTATTGATATTGATTTCATTGTTTGATTTGAAAATGTATGTGTACCGTATATTAATATTTTACAGCGATATAGAAAACAACAGACAAGTAGAAAGAAGCGAAGGTGAACATTTCTCTCGTCAAAATGACTTAATGTTTTTCGAAACGTCCGCTAAAACGGGAATTAACGTGTCTGAAGTTTTTGAAGAATTGGCAGAACTCTTATACAGCAAAGTTTTAAGCGGCGAAATTGACGTTAACAGACCGGTATGGATATAATTTTTCTTAATAATACTTAAATAATAAATTACTTCTAAGAAATCTTTAAATTCAAATTATAACAATTTACTGTATATATCCTTATTATAATTGTATAAGTTATTAAGTAATTATGAGTTTTGATTTTGATAAGCTCTTTGACGAGAATATAATATAGACTCCGAAGACCTCGAGGCAAACGAGCTACCGTGTTCGGTTTCAAAATGTAAAGTGTAGTTGACAGTCGAGATAAATAACGAATAGCAGAATAAAACAATATACGTTTTTGCCTGGATAGTAATATAATTTAACATTTGAACATAATTTATACAAGTCGTAATTTTTTAAATGACATTTTTTTTTTTTAAGACATAATTTTATTATTCGTCGTTTAAAAATATTATCGATTAGGTACCTATTTATGTTATGTTTTTTTTTTTAAACAATGCCCTTTTAGCGATTACCCGTGTAAAGAATTTGAAAAATAAATTTAATCTTGGATTTGTTCAGTCGTGATGAGTGGGTGTAATATGAATATTATTATTTTTTCGAATTGTATCTGTTTTTAAATAGCTTTATATTCATATAGGTAGTAAATTTTAGATATTTCCAAAATAATGTAACAACGCATAACATATTTTTATTTCAGACTCGAATAGAGATTGTTTTCTTGAAAGGTTTAATGCGCAGCAATAAACTTAATACCCGACTAATGATTAATTATTCATAATTAATTGAAGTTTAGATTGGAGTACCATCAGTGAAAGGAAATCGAAAACTAGATAAGAAATATAATATCCTTCCACGATCCCCTGTGCAGTCTAAACTTTAAATTGTTATAATTAATATTAACCGTTATAGTCCCGTGTATAAGATTAATATGCATATCAAAATTGTCAGAAACATATTCTCTGTTTTCATATATTAATAATAATAATAATAATAATTAAGATAGCAAATCTGTATGAATTGGTCGTTGAAAACTAAAAGTTATGATAATTTTAACGACAATGATAATAAACGATTAGATAGGACACGATAAGTATTGCTAGTTCAGGAAAATAAGAAGAAAACTCAACTCATTAAAAAAATATAACACAAATCGTCATATTATAACAAATTGACATTTCATTTGTATCATAACATATTGAATAATACTGGCATGTAATACCTGCTATCGTATTGTTAGCATACTATATTTTTATTGAATTGAGAGAGATGACTGTCAAACTGCATCCAATTCCGTTATTCCGTCTACATTTTTTTTTTTTTTTTTTTTTAAACTTTATACCTACTGACATAAACAGTGGAATAATTTACAGTACCCGTAAATTATTATTTATAACTCTACTATCTAATATGATATGCTAGATATTATAAAAAATTATAATTTTACAAATATATATTTAGATTTTCAATATAACTGTCCAATAAAGTTAAAAACATAGTATTAATTTGTATGTGAAATGCATATAATAATTTATTAATTTCAGATTTCTGGAGTTAAACTTGGCCGCAAACTCAATAAATCGGAAAAAATCAAAAGAAACGTCAGCAATTGTTGTACGTCTACATAAAACAATAAATATAAAATGAAAAACTAATGAATTTAATTATTGACACCCACTAAATATTTGTTGTTTATTATGTTTTGATTTTAATTAAAATTACTAGGAATATTAAAAAATGACCCCCTCAATGGATTAATTTGATAGCATTTGATACCAAAAATAACGATTATACTTGAATATTAGGGCAAGATTTTTGGTGGAAATGTTGTTCATGGACTGACAAAAAAAAAAAAGAACACATCATGGTAAAACCCACGCATTACTCGTTATTCTTAGTATCTAAAACCCTCACATAACTCTTTTTAATAATATTTTGATTTTAAATATAATTGGTTGGTGGCCAATAATATACAGGTGAGTAGTCACCAGTATATAAACTAAATGCCTAATTATGTATTCTATAAACTTTCCTACTTTCCACGTACACAGTGGTGTACCCATGGTGTGAAATATGTCCGGATTATTATATTGGTAATATTTATACCTTTATGAAAATTCACGTGTGATAATATTTGTATAATTTATGACGATCCCAATAAAGTACCTACCTATATATTATATTATTCTCTCGAAAAAATATTGACGTCGTGTTCTGAATATTAAAATTTATTAATTTATCGTTATTCTACCCTGATTGGAATTCGCGGTCTATTCACGGGGGAAATCCGTGAGAAAGTCAAAGACTCCCCGAAGTTTTCCCCGTACAGACAAAATTAAAATTAAAATAATATAATACCCACGTACATAATTCGATAGATTAAAACTTTCATCGTACACCAAGTACGCGATTGGACCGAAAAATTAAAAAAAGAAACCTTTATTTCGTAAATACCCATGTCCATTTCCCGACGTTTTTTCACAGTTATTTTCAAGTATTAAGAAAATTACAAGCTTCTTATATAAAAAAATTAACTCCACTGACTACAATACACCAACTAGAAAAAATTCATTACCACAAACCACAACTGAAGTCCGGAGGTGAGCGACATTAATTAATTTAATTTTAATAACGAGATTTAAACTAAAAATTTGAATTAGAATATGTTATAAGAATCATATAGAAAAACAAAAGATAGAAATATTTCTTTATAGCAACAATCTAGTTACTTTAAAATATAAAACACGTTTTAATACTCAAATTGTATAATCGCTTTACGTTATTTTCATTTTTTTTCTTTTGCCATTCTTTAAAAATAACTTAAATTATTTTTATATTGCTTTTCTGATGTTATATGGAAATTTTAATCCGTTTCAAAATTGTTGTGCCAAAAATGTCGCAGTACAAATGGAGGATCTATATTATTAGTTTTTAAAATATTATATGATAAAAAAATGTACTCAAATATACTTTATATCCTACATTCCGAACTTCTCACCTATAAAAGTCGCCCACCAGCGGTGCGAATTATATCCGTTTGTTTTTTTTATTAAAAGCCATAAGAAAAATCTTTATTCAGCGTAATTTGAAGTAAATTTTAAAACATATCGAATTGATTTAAAATTTTATAGAAAGCTTATTTTCAATAGCATTCAGGACAAATTTACACGGTTCCGCACATAGGCGTACGCAGACTTCCTGATCAGGTGCAGCACCTTTTATTTTAGGGAACATTTTCAGTAAATTTTAAGCAAATAGGTGCATTGTATATTTTGTTAATATAAAAAATAAATAGTTATTTAATTCAAAAACAAGTATTTGATTAGTAGACAAGCAGTGTTGATGATCACAATGACGTGATAAGTATTAATTTTGCGGTTTTTTACGAAATATATATCGGGAGATAGAACGTATTCCGTTCGTCAGGTATACCTAACAGCAATAGGACAGTCATAGTTATTAATAGTTATTATTTATTGTGACAATATTCTTCGACCGTTTAATGATTATTTGTGTTTAAAGGCCATAGGGAAAATCTTTAGTAAAATCTCCATTGAACGTAATCTGATGGTACATTTTAATATCAGAAAATAATAAAAAGATAAATAAAAAAAGCGATTTAAATAAGTGTACACTTATCAATATCTTTTCAATCTGCTGTTCGAGGTTTGATCTACATCTCTGTTCCATGTCTACAATTTCCGAAGATTAATAGGACAAAAATTCAATTATTTTGGACTCTGAGCAAAGAGAGGAATGTATTGATTTTAAATGATTTAATTTTTTTTTATACTGTGTACAAAATTCCACCTAGAAATCTTGCTCCAATCAAAACATGCCCCGACACAATTTTTGCTGCATTTTGTCTTTATTGTACTTTATTGTACTTAAGGTAGGTAATATTTTGAAAATCTCGTTAATATACGAGATAATGAGGAATTCAAAAAAAAAAAGATTTAAACATTTTTAAGAAAACTGGCAATCGTTTTTATTAATTTTTTTTTATTATTAAGTTTTTAATACTTTATTTTTTAAATAATTTTTGTTGTCGTGAAGACGCACATTGTATAAAAAGTAATAATATTGATCAAGCACCGCTCAGAATTATTTTTCGATATCAATGATTAATCGTTGCGTAAAGACATAGGTACATTAAATTTCCTACTAAATTGCATATGTTACGTTCCCAAATTCTCACCTACACCAGTGGCCCGTCCTTAGTGTGAAGTAAGTCCGTTTTTTTTTTTTTTTAATATGATGTAGTTTCTTTATAATTGAACATTCCATGGAACAACCCGTCGTTATATTCGTATTTTTATTTTAGCTCAACGAGCAATAGAAACCATAAATTGCAATCAATTGAATGGAAAACCTATAGAAATCGCGTGGTCGTAGCGTGACCAGGCCATACAAAAATGCCAAAACGCGAATTTGTACGTTAAAGGTTTAAAACCAGACATTAACGCGAAGTGCCTGTACGAAGCTTTTATAGCATTCGGTGATTTAATAAGTTGCAAAGTAAGTCATTGTATTTATTAATAAACTCAAATAATAGTAATAATGTTAATTTAAACATAATACAAAATATTTATTTAAAAGATAAATTGAATTAAATTAAATTAAATAAATTTAATAATTAAATTCCTTTAGAGTATTAAGGTGTGTGATTTTGTTCAATGCATTATAGTTTTAATTTATTTAGGTAGTTCGTGACGAACTGGGCGTATCAAAAGGATACGGGTACGTCCATTTTAGGAAAGAAAAATATGCAGAACAATGCGTTATAAAATTAAATGGAATGTGCATTCTGGGAAAGAAGATATTCATCAGTGTATTCATGTCAAAAAAGGATAGAAAATATAATATATTGAATCAAGGAGAATTTACTAAATTATACATTAAGAATTTATCGGGAAAATTCAACGACAAAGATTTCTATAACATGTTTGAGGTGTATGGTGAAATCACTAGTTTAGAAGTTTGTTATTATTAATTTACGTCAACAATAATATTGTTATTATTTAATTCATAATTTGTTTGGTATAACAGTACATTTATAATCTAAATTTGTAGATAATGCGTTAAAGAAAATGGTTTTTCTAAACGATTTGGATTTGTTATCTTCCGAAAACCCGACGAGGCCAAAAAGGCTGTGGAAGAATTAAACGGCAAACCGAGTCCATCCGGAGTAGCTAATATATTTTAACAAAATTATTTTCACCTATTATTACTTAATGTTTTAGATTTACCATGTGGGGCGCATCCAACTAAAAACCGAACTTGAAGTAACACTTATTAAAAAGTTCGGAAACACTAAAAGAGTAGAACCAACGAACGACGTTAATGTATATATGAAAAATTTAGATAGCATAGTAATTGACGAACGGTTAAAAAATGAATTTGGTGCATTCGGATTTGTGACGAGCGCGAAAGTAATAAATTATTTTTAATTTTTAGCGACAATGTAACTATCAAAATTGTGAAGTAAATCACTAAAATTATTATACACTATACGATGAAAGAGAATGGGCGAAGCCAAGGCTCCGGCTTCGTACGCTTCGAATCAGCGGATCAAGCAAATAACACAATTGCGCAAAAAAACGGAAGCGTTATAAATAAAATATTATATATGTGGCATTGGAACAAAGGAAGGTGGATCGTTTGACGAAAAACTGTAACAATAAATCTCATGTCAAAGCGGAAACCTCCAAACCAGAAGGTGGTTTAATAATTAATAGGTCTAGATTTATTAGATAAAACAAACAATTATTTTTCATAAGTAATGTAAGGCGTGTGGTGATTTTATTTACATTAAGAACCTCAATATGTAAACCGCTTTATTACTCATGATATTTTAGGTTATCCAAATATTGAATCACCGAGCTTAATTTTTTGCATAGTTTTCTATATTACTTTTGATATTTTTAGATTCTGCATACATTAGCTTACCGTACCGAGCAACAGAAATTCAACATCCTGAAACAACAACTGGGAATAAAATGTGATATTATGGTAATATTTAATCAAATTATTTATTTGCGCATAAGGAAGACACAATTTTAGATAGGGTCCTAATATACAAAATCATAAAACCGTAAAAAAAAATGTTATTGGTTCTTAACTCCGTACTTTTATAATGTCGCTCTATTATTTTTTAATTATAACAAATGAAATGGAGCAAAGAAAAAATGTAAAAAGACACATTTTTCTTTAAATTATTTTTCTCTTTCCAAATGGTGCATAATAGGTAAAACCTTGAAAGAAATGGTTTCTAAACATATTTTATGTTCTGTGTACGTATATGGATTATAAAATAATTGCTTCATTTTTTGTATAACTCTCTATATTACTTTTTTTATGTCTTTAGATTTTGCGTACATTAACTCACCGTAACGAGCTACAGATATTCAATATCCTGGAATAATAATTGGGACTAACATGTTCAAGTGTGGTAATATTTACTCCAATTATTTATTTGCGTGATGGGGAGCAATAATAAACTACTCCCACTGCATATGACCACAGGGACCACACGTGGTTAATATAATCTCCAATTATATACCTTGGCCCTAGTCCCGTTAGGGTTATTTGATAATATTTGTAGGGAGGTATTCTGTTATTTTAGCGGCATTTCATTATTATAGATATTTTAGAAAAGTTTCCCAATTGTTGTACAATCACTTGGCCTCCTTTATTAAGAAATTCTGACAGCATCGTATCGTACCCCGGAATTTGTTTTCATTTTTAAGCACTCCAAATGCCCAGTTTACCCCTTCATCTGTTGGTTCATACATATCTTGATTTGCTATTTGGTTATGAATTATAACTGATTTGGGTAGTCTTCTGAATTGTTTATTCATGCAAACGTATTACTTCTTCATCATCTATTTCTCATGCTATTTTTAAACTTAAAAACATATAGATATTTTGACGCTTCAGATAAATTATGTTCTAAGAATTTTATTACATTTAAGACTTACTTTTCATTCATATTAATACGCCAAATCGATGAACCAAAAACAGATAGTGTGAATAGTAGTCGAATCAACAAACATAAATGTACGATTATTACTATTATTCGATTCGACGATACGTACCTTACGTAATCAAAAGTTGATTGATTTTTGAATGATAATCCTAGGCAGATATATTTTATCATAAATATTATCAACAACATGCTTAAAAAATACATATATCATAACAGTGTGTACAATTAATAAACTAGAAATTATGAGAATTAATCTCGATCGTCGATTCGATGAACAGTTCCAGGGTTTTAATATATCTACAAAGGTGTTTTTAAAATTGTCGATTACTTCTCTCGGATGTGTTATTAGTATTTCATCCTCATGTTTTACTATAGGTGTCCTCTGTGTTTAAATCCTACTTTAAAATCATTTAATTCTCCGAAAAAACTTTTGGATTGTTTCTTTAATTGCTTTTGATTTGTTTAATTTTGTTTCTTTTCCATTGTCATTTATTTATAATTGTTGCTTTTTTTGCCTCCCATTGTTTAAATATAATATAATATAATTAAAAAATATTTAAGTATATTTAAAAATGTTCTATAATATTCATGTAGATTAATACCGAACTGTTTTATAAATCTATAATTTTATTTCAAAAATAAAGTGAGTCTTTGTGTAGGTATAATTTATAAAGCTGAAAGTTAGTCATCAAGTACGGTACAATATAATAACGTGTATATAGTGTATATAGTATACTGCGAAAGAAAGTCAAACTGTATAATTTTATTATTTGTTTTACTGTTAGACGAAATAAAACATGTAAAATGTAAAATGTATTATTATAACGTTTCTCTTATTCTATTTTAAATTAATTGTATACTATGTACTTTATGTAACTATATTCTTAAACATTACTATTTGCAGAGGAAATGCAGTTGTTTGAAGTCAATAAATTGCAACCAAGATGTCATTGGATAGTTTCATATTATTTTTACGATATATGTGCCGTATTGAATAATTGCGAATAAATATACCCGTACAAATATATACATTTGCTGTGTATTTTTTTTATAATATTGGTAAATGGTAATAAAGTTTTTACCTGTGTATGGTTTCGCATAATGTTTGTCATTGATTTTCGTTTAATTTTTCATTCAAATTGCATCTATATGTAAATACTATTATTATCCTCGTTTTAACTGCTACGTGCTCACATGCTTATCATAGATAAACATGGATGAGCCCATAGTAGAAAGACAGGTCAACTCCTAGTGTGGGTTCAAATACACTCATGCACCCGAAACGAAAATGATTAAATGACGTGACAAAAGTTAATTGAATGCTGTGAAAATACTGACTTTTGTAATATAGATGTACTTTAGTGTCACAACTCGCAACATTTTTTTAAGAAACCTGAATTTCTAAATTAACTACAGCCCTGAATCCATGTACAGTCAACATGTATTTTTACCTGAACAAACAATTTTGCTAACGAGTATATTCTTGACCCTTTGGAACTAAATTTTGAAATCAAATTTATGATTTGTAATTATAAATTGTCCTACATAGGTGGTATTTATTTTAAAACTAAACACTATTTAAAACTCTAACTCACACTAGAATAAACATTTAAATTCAAAAGTGAACGTGAACACGAACAACAACAATGATAACATGAATGAGCATACATAGAGATTTGTATGTTTCTATGTTAATGTGTCTGAATTTTTTAAATATGAACCACAACCAACAGTTTACACTCACCCAGAGAGACCTAAAATAGTGTATTTTAAAGCTTAAAATGTAAAATGTGCAGCTCAAATTCCAGTTGGAATAATGTTGGAAAAATTAAGTTTAGGCTTAAAAATAGACACTGTTTCTTATGGAAAGGCGCTAAAGAAACAGTACCCCGGCTTGCCAATATGTAAATACGTCTTTGTTCTCGAAGATTACAAGCGAAGTGACGATGATGACGGTAACAATTTTACTATACGTTTGTGTGACGTCGTCGTTAAGACAGATTTAGCATTATTGTTGCAACGCACGTGCATTATACCGCCTTTTGAATATTTGTACCAATTGCCTAGGAAAATTATTGACCCGTAAAATTAATAATGACATTGTTCGTGATTCCGATAACGAAATTTGGCGAAAAGGTATTAGGTCGAGCAGATAACAGCGGAGAACGAAACAACAATGCACGTGCGCAATTCAATGATTGTACCTATAAACCTAACTAAAATGAATTAACTTTATATTCTAGATTGATAATTGAATATACTTTACAATAGTCATTATTACATTTGTATTGTTATTTGTTTTTCCACCAATGTAGAGTTTCCCCGACGCACAATGCGTACGAATGGATAAACTCCAACAACGTTCAAATTGTTCAGTTTTATGCCCACAATAATAACATGAAATAATGCAATTATACCGTGGTTAAAATAACCATAAGCAATATTTGAGTTTATATTCGAAGAAGTTTTTCTCGGAAAATAATTTTAAACGACGTGATAGTTTCAATAATATATTTGCTGATGATATAGAGCTTTCCCTCCTCGTCAAACCAATCACCGAGTGTCATTTTCTCTAAAATAATTTGCAACGTTTAGTGTCATAGAGCACAAATCCCAGGGCCTTGTCCTCAATATATCGAAACGCTCAATTATTACTTTCTATCGTATTTAATTTGCAGTTAAATATATTTGTTCCGTTAATAGTATGCCCGATTTCGGACCCTGTTTTCTTACTCGGTGTTTTAAATATAATTTTAAAACTGCTTGCTACCAGAAAATTATCTAAGTCGCAATCTGGTCCACTATATGTTTTTACATCAGTGATGTTATTAATGAATCTCTCATTGATTAGTAACGTCTCAATTGTTTATGTAAATGTATGGTCCATAGTAAGTTTATATATCCTCATTTTTAACAATCGTTAATTGACAGTATCATACGCTGCATTAAGGTACATGTATGCAACACCACTAATAAGCTTTCTCTCGTAACCATTCTCGATATGATTTATCAAATTAAATACATTACTTTTTTTTTTTTTTTTTAATAATATACTTTTACGCGCATTAATAATAGCCAAATGCTTTATTAATGTTAATTTAATAAAGATGTTAAAATATATAGAAACGTTAGATCTTGTGTTATTAATTTTTGGTAAAACAGGTGCCAGTCAGTTGTAAATAATAGTTATCGTGTTACATTATTTAGGAGTAACTTTCAAACTGGTAAATTTTTGATATCATAAAAAGGACACCGCGTTTAAATAATTAGCATATCCATCGGCAATATAATATTATACAGATATAGTATAATACCTATGGATTATACTTAAGTGCTAGTGAAAATAACATACCTATACATATTACATATTATATAATATTTCGCAATGAATTTATAAAAAAAAATAAATAAAAAATTAAGTTTTTAAATATTATGATATGAAAAAACATTGTAATAATAATTAATTGCATATAATTTCTATAGAATAATATGAGACTAAAGTTATCATTTATTTGCAAAATTTCAATAAAAAAGGTGAGTATCCTAACCATTAGGTCCTATTCACGTCTGAAACTCAATGAAAAAATGAAAACGTTTTTTGTGCGAGAAAATTAAAAAGCAAAAATGTCGAAAACGGTTTAGGATAAACAGAAAATATTTTTATCGTTTTCGTACACGAGAAACGGAATTATTTTCATACATGATTTTAAATTTTAGGGTTTTTAACCGGGCACTAAATTTTGGTACCTACAATGGTTTATATTATTATTATTATTATTATTATCGTACATAAGATTATGAGATATTTTTTTTTATAATATAGATTATCTGATTTGTTGAATACGTTTTCTTTTCCATATTATTATTATTATTATTATTATCATCGTGTTCTCGTTTAAAAATTACAAGATTAATAGGTATTGGTGTGGTGAGTAGCTAAGCTTTACGAAATTAAAATAAATGATTTTTATGTATAATTTGTTTTTATTTTTATACCGTGTAGTTATATGGCCATGATATAGGTATAATATGAATACAGTGGTGGGGTGTAGCGTGCTATTTGCAGTGCTATTAAACATTAATTTTTTAGAAGGTACTTATAGTGTTTACCGCGGTGTTGCTATTATTACACAAATTGGCTAAACTTTAATAGCAGTGGACTACAACAGTATAAACATTACTATTATATTATAAAGAAGTGCAACAAAATTGTCTCTTCGGTACTGTATTGTACCTATATATTCAAATTATTGAGAAAAAAAGCATTTATTTCTATATTGCAGCCAACTATAGACTGTGCGCAATCTGGCTTTTTCCCAAAACATGTTTACCGGGTTAACTTCGCCTTGTAGAGCTGACCGATTTCGGTAATTTTTTTGTTTTATTGAAAAAAAAGATTTTCTTTCAGGGCGCATTAGACTTGGATTTTGACAATTATATTTCCAAACGCTGTTAATCGAATTTGAACGTGACAAATTTGTTCAATGGTTTTAAACCAATTTTTTTTTTTTTTTTGGTAGTTTTTTTTGTTACACGATCAAAGTCTAATGCGTCCTGTATATTAAATTATCTGCTTTCTAATGAAAACAAAAAAAAAATAAAAAATGTCTAAATCGGACGTATGTACGAGGCAGGAGAGTTTAACTTGTAAACAGTGTAAACCATGTTTTGAGAAAAAAAGTTTGCCCTTCAAAACAAAAATTAAAACTGGTTAAATTTTTTGTTAAGAACTGTTAAACATTTTGAATTGTAAAAATGTTAATGGTTCGTAAACACCACGAATAGGACCTCTCTTATACGGAGATTGCGAAACCGATAGATTAAATTATGCTTCGCCTACGTATACTGTTTTGTTATTAATAATTACGGCACCATTTTACGCACATATTAGGCATCATAACAAATTGAAAACAAATTAAACGACCTCGAAGGAAAGAAATATTATGACTAATATAAGTAATCGCGATAACATAAGCTATTATTATTATTATTATAACAATAATTTCCGAAATGTGATAATATTAATTTCGTTTCCGTTTTTTCTCGTCAGACAATGTTAATTACTAAAACGATTATGCTCTATGGACATTGGACATGCCTAATTGCTATAATACACTTAATATTATTATTATTCCAATGATTATTGTTTTTCCGTACAATAACGTCAAAATCCGACGATTATATTATGCATTTAGGTATTATAGTAATTTATTGTTTTCCGAATTCGCGGAATTAAATATAACAGCAAACTATTATATCCGCGTTTAGTCACACAAAAAGTCGTTTAGTCCAGAAATTACTACTTTTCCGTTTTCACTTTAGAACATAAATCACACGAGTGTGTGTCACGGTTCAATGATCTGGATTAACTTTCGAGTAAAACTTAGTGTGTGTGTGTGTGTGTGTGTGTGTGAGAGAGTATATATCTACTCCTCCGGTTCACCCAGATTTCTCTACCCCTACGGGTGAGGTGGAATCAATTTTGAATTGCTCGGCGAAATATCCGTCTTATCGTCAACCGCCATTCGTCGTTTGTCACGGGGCCTTTCACGCAAACGACACCCAATAGGGCGTTTTGTAAAGGAGACTTCTGTCTAAAAGTCGTAAAAACACCGATGACATTACCGCAAACGTAAACGCGAAAAATAAACAAAAGCGTGGTATTTATGTGACATGGTTTTGCGGGACGAAAGATGAAAAATAAATTCATGAGTTTAATGAAAAACATTCCAATTAGGTACAGGTAGTAGGTGTTCAGCTATATTAATAAAATAACGTTTAGGTACATTGTGCATTTTTATGTAATACATAATATTTTGTAACATAATAAGCAGGCCTGCTTAACGAACAGGACTATTCTCCAAATTATTGATTCGATATTTTATGAAATTAATATTTAAATTCGTTTCAGCGATAAAATATTATGGAATCAGGATCGATAGGCCCTATGTGGTAAAGTTTACAATATTTTAATAAAAAAGAAACTTTCTTTGAGCAATGAAAGTTTATTTATGGAAATTTATTTTGAATATCTTTATAAACAAATATTTGAATATAAACCCCGATTGAATGGCATAGAATTAAATTGTTTATTTAACTTAAAATATAAAATATACATTTATAACTCGAATCAAACCAGGCAGACTTAGTATAAAACATATTTCATTATTTTAACTGATCGTTTTGTATTGTTTGAAAATATTTATACGATAACCATTATTGGGATTTGCGATTTTCTTGTTTCTAGATCGCAGTCTAGATCAACTTTTTCGATTTTTTTATCATAAATTATCAACAGTCTTGTTAAAATAAACAATAATTTACAAAATCATTTTGAGAAACTACCTAAATGATAACATTTTTAATTAGGTGTATAGATGTGTAACTTTTTCAATTTTCTGAATTTTCAGAAACTTATTTTAGTTTCATTTGTTCAACTAATATTGCCGATGAAATATATTATACATCAATTCCTTACTTTGTGCACTTGATCTTGTACATAATCTATTTCTATGATGTGATGTATTTATATTTTGAATTTTTCATAGTAAATTTGTCATTATCGTTTTAAAATAAAATAAAGATTCAAAAAATATTCACTCATTTTTAAAACGATATTTAAAAGAAGACTTACTTAGGCGGACGAGGTTATATTTTTAAGGTTTCCGTGACGCAGGTACTGAAAATTTAACACATTTATGACGTTCTTTAATCCTTTAATAATTTATCGTTACACTTTTTTTTGTGAATACTTTCTTCGAGAAAGCTTACATCGATAAGTCCGATGTATATGATGTAGATCTTTTTATGAAAGAAAATTTTCTTGGGGTAGTACTTAAAGGAGGTCATTTTTCGATTTTCTCAAAAATGTTCTCATGAAACGTGAACAAATTAAAAGAACTGAAATCGGGAATATATATGAAATAAATTAGTAAAATATTACGAATTTTTTTTCTGTGGATTATTTTTCTACCAGCAATATTTTGCTCCGATTTACAATGATAAACACTTTATCTGAAAGTAAATCTGACTGAGAAGGTGATTTAAGGAGTTCCCAGCAAATGTGAAGAGGGAAAAATTTAGAAA